CACCCCCAAAATCTCTGTGCACCCTCATTTCTAGGCTCTATCCCTGGCTGCAGCATTGGGCAGGGGGTGGTTCTGGGGTTTGGGTCAGGGATGCTCCTGGCCCCAGCATGGCCCAGCTCTGGGAGTGGTGTCATGCCATGGACCTCACACACCTGACAGGCCTCTGAGCTGCAGCTCTGACTCCAGGAGGAGCCAGGTGTCTGTCTGTCCCTGTCCCTGTCCCTGTCTCATCCCATGTGAGGTTTGGAAGGGGTTAACAGTGCCCGGGTTTGCCCCATTCCCCTCCCAAGGCCCGTTCTGGTCCGAGCCCGCCCTGGACGCACCTGCCAAGGGTTAACCTGGCCCGGGCTGTTCAAACACCTCGGCTGAGGTAAGCGCTGCTTGTTTGTTCAGGTAAATAAGGAAGGAATCGGATATAATGGGCAAAGGAGGCTCTGCCTGAGCCCTGACACTCGCTGCCGCCGCTGGCTCCGTCCCTGCGCTGCCCGCGGAGCCCCTCGGGGTGCCCGGTTCTGCTCGCTGTGCCCTCCCTGCCGGTGCCCACCGGGGCCGATGCGGCTCAGCTGAGCGGGGCTCGGTGCTGCCGGCCGGGGCTGGGACCCTCACTGGGGCTGGGACCCCTCACCGGGGCTGGGACCCTCACCCAGGGCCATGTCCCCCCCACACACCGTGCCCGGTGCCGCAGGGACGGCCGTGCCCAGCCTGCGCTGGCACCCATGTGGATTCTGAGCTCGCACACCCTCCAGGTAAGGCGCCCGCGCTGCCGCGACCCCCGGCTCCCCCAGCGCCCACCCAGCCCAGGGTCCTGCTCCTGGCACCAGTCTGGGCTGTCCCGTGTCACATTCCCACCCCACAGCATCTCCAGGGACCCTCAGGGCTGAGCAGGGACAGGTTGTCTGTCCCTCGGTGTGAGGTTCTTGGCATTTCTTTGCATGGTGTCACCCAAAATGAAACGGGATTTGCTATCCTTGTGTCTTTGCAACCTCCTGCTGCTCAAGCAGGGAGGGTGGGATGGAGCCAGGACTCCTGGGGCTGCTGCTCCTGAGCCCACCTGGTGACAGCTGGGACACCCAGGGTGCCACCAGCCCCTGTGCCAGGCAGGGGACAGTGAGCTTTGGGGCACCGTGGGACAAAGCAGCAGCTGGCACCCTTTATGGAGCACCCTGGGGGGCTGTTGAGGAGCTGCCAGCTCTGGGGAGTCTCTGTGAAGCTGAGCCCCTTGTCCCAGCTGCTTTCCTGCTGGGGTGGTTTTTGTGTCAGCCCTGAAGTCACTTTGGTTTGGTTTTCGTGGTTCTGCTCGGTTGGTGAAACACAAACACCGTGAGGGTGCCAAATCCCCACAATAGCGGTGCTCTCTGGGGCTGGGAGCACGGGGGGGAAGGTGCTGCTATAAATAGGGGCTCCCTGGCCCCAAATGGGGAACACCAAGCTCTGCTGCTCACCGGGGGCACAGCGAGCAGCCGGCTTTGCCCGGGTCACTGGCGGGTGCTGCCTGTCCCTGTCACTGCTGTTTGCCTCCCGTGCTGATGGAGAGGGCAGCCTGACCCAGGGCGTGGGGACCTCTGGGGACACCTGGTCCCCGTGCCAGCAGCCATGCAGGTAATGGCAGGAGGAGCCAGGGCACCTCGGTGGTGCTGGAGCTGCTGGGGAGCTGAGAGTCCAAGCCCTCAGGGGTACATCAGGGTGAGCCTGGGGCTTGTCCTGGCCCCAGCCCTGTCACCACACAGCCCCTGGGCTGTCACCTCCCCAGCCCCTGCTCTGTCACCTCCCCAGCCCCCCAGGGGGCCCCAGCCCTGTCACCACACAGCCCCTGGGCTGTCACCTCCCCAGCCCCTGCTCTGTCACCTCCCCAGCCCCCCAGGGCTGTCCCCAGTCCCTGCCCTGGCTGTGGGGAGGCTCTGACCAATCCTCCTTCCTCCACCCAGAGATAAGGAGGGTGCGTGGCACAGGGTTTGGCAGCAGGACGTGGCACAGCTGTCACTCTGGGGCTTGCATGGGACATGCTGGCAGGATCTCAAGTTGTCAGCAGCCTCTGAGCACCCACCTGGGTGCCGGCTGCAGCCCT